AACACAAACACCGTTTTAAAGTTCTGTCAACAAAAAAAGGGTATTCAGCGAAAGGAAAACAATTCACATACATTGTGTGTAAATTGTTTTCGTTTTGCTGAGGTAACACTTACTTTTTTGTGATCCATGGACAGAACTATAAAATGGTGTTTGTTTTTAAAATTCCGTAACTTGAAAAGTACATTAGCGATTTTAATTATTCTTATGAATTGGGCTTTCATATCCTTGATTTTGAAAGTGCTAAATGCAGAACTTCTTTTAAAATATGTCCTGACATTTGGGTTTCGTTTTTTGACTCACCCTTTTCAGCAGGTTGGGTATAAGCTTACTAGGCTTGCCAAGTCTTGTTAAAATTGTGCTGTGAACGGTTCTCTTTCAAAAACTTTTTAGTCAAATGTATTGTATTTCTCGACAAATTTTAAATGTTCTCTTTTCATGTACGAGTCTTGAGTGGGTTTAGTTTATTGTTTCAGGCCCCTCAGATTGCTGAATCAGTGTAATGAGAAGAAAAAATGAAATGATAAGGATGAGAACAAGGTGAGAAATTGCGTGTCAGTTAGAACGTACAGAATGCTCTGCAACACCCACATGATGCCGCATCTCTTCTTTGCTTCTAATAGGAATGAGGCTGGAATCTCCAGGTGATTAAACTCAAGGTGCTGACTACTGGACCCAAATGTCAAATTCCAAGAAAGAAATCCGATCGAGACCAAGGCCAGATTTCCGTAAGTTGTCACAGTTTTCCAGATTAACTATTAGTTTATTAAAAAAAGACCTCTGGAAGGTACTGGCTAACCATGCTCCTGAATGATTCTTCATAGGGATCTGTGTAACCAATAAGAAGGAATTTTAGTGCAGAGAGACCCTGAAGATGAGCACAAAGAGTCTCCAACCCATCCAGACTGAGTGCATTGCCCTTGACACTAAGTAAATACAAACAACCGTGCCCGGCGGGGATGATTCTGATCAGGTCCGGCATGTCATCATCATCCAATCCACATGTAGTCAATGCCAACCACATCAGGGATGGAGAAATAAGAGGAGCCAGACATTGAACATTGTTATGCAGATTGGTTTCACTCAACTCTACAGACTGCAACCTACTACACCCCTGCAGGACATTCGATAGTCTACTGACATCATTATACGATCGGTCATACACGTGGACACGTTTCACCTGGTTAGATACATAGGGCAGGTATCCCAACACACACTCGTCGTCAAAACATGAACTCTCATCAATGGTCAGGTATAGCAGCAATCTATAACGGATCCTCTCATCCATCCCTTGAAGTGTTTCCTCCAGGATCTGCATTGCATCACTACCTCTGTCAGCCATGGTGTACCAGAATAACCAGGATGGAAGTGAATAACCATGGCGCCTAACTCTGAATCGGGTGAATAGGCTGATGGCTGGCCTAATCTTACCACTAAGTAGAATATCCCTCCAAATCGTGATGTTATCATAGGACCGGCAGCTCACGCTGAATTTCTCCATTTTTACCGGAGGCCGAGGAACGCACTGCAAGTAGTATTGCAACGCTTTTAGATCAAGATCAAGACGATTTAAGTGGAACGAACTACTCAGTTCGGTTGGCCTTTTTAGTTTATCAGCCCACTTACTTGAACAAGACTCGAATAACAATATCCGCGCCAAATCCTGTAGGTCTAATTCTTCTCTGTTTTCCGATTCTCTGCTCTTCTGTTTTCGAACATGTTTCAGGATGAATCCAGTAGCGGGAGACTTCGATGATATTCCGCATGTAAACCGAAGCAGATCTTTCATGGCATTAATATTAAAGGTATTTATGCGCCTCAACTTGGCGCTCAACCTAAATCTGCCAAAAAGGAAATGTCGACACAAACCAGCCAAGTAGTATGCTGCAGAGAATTCTTGGAAGGACTTGTGAAGGAAAGTTACTACATACATCTCCCCCAAGCCACTCGTGAAATGCTCCCGTTGAAGGAAACCTAATCGACATCCATTCTCCAAGTCTTTCTCATCAAATTCCTTTGATGAGAACACGAGCCTTTCCCCATTTGGGTCTAGTAATCCATCAAGAGCGACTCGTCCTAGTCCAGAAAGAACCGATTCCATCAGCTCCAACTGATCCTCTCCTTCATTGCACCGGCGACTGACTAGAGCCATTGCAAACTGTGTGTAAAGCTGCGTCAATCTGTCAGGCAATTCTGAAAGATTCTGATTTTCCCAAACAATGCACAAAAATAGTACAATGAGTGGAATTTTTGCCAACGTTTGCAGTGATTTTTTTGATTCCAAGTTTGACTTGAGTGTGTCTCCCAAAGATACATTTTCAGCAAAATAATCTGCAATGTATTTCTTGGCAGTTTTGAATGTGAACCCGCGTGTTTGAACGCGAGCGTAGTGTAGGTATTTCGTGAGTTCAATCATATGAGGGCGTGTCGTGACTATGACGGAACTTTCTACCAAGACTCTGTTTTCCAAGATATCCTTGACCCCATACTCGCCCTTCTTAGGCGGGGAGTTGAGAACACTGGACGGAATCTCATCCAATCCGTCCAATAGGAACACCGTCTCGGCTTCATTTTCATCAATAACCTTCTTCAAATGTGCCTTCCCAAACTGATTGTCTCCCGGAAAGATCTGATCACAAATGGCCTTCAGGACACAACTGGACTCTTGCATTTGCCTCAAAAACACTAAAAACACCAGCTTGAACCTGGCCATCAGGGTTTCTGGGTCAGTGCTTGCATTTGCAACTCTCAGTAAAAGAGTCGACTTACCAAATCCTGCCCCACCTGAAACAATGATCTTCAGACTTTCACCTTCTTCTGTGTCAATGTTTAACATATCTTCCCACGAATCTAGCTGAACTGTGCGGACTGTATCTAAAATGTGTGTCTCCCCACTTAACTTAATGGTTTTTTTTAATGCGGCCTGTTTACCTTTTACTCCTTGAGTAAGTTCTAGATCGGAGTAGAATCGACCCATAGCCACAGTCCTGGAAGGATCAAATGGGTGTGCAGGTATTGTGCTTGTTGTTTTCTTGTAGTGCCGGGTGAGCTTCTGCTGGCAATATTCTAAGGGTGTCGGGCCTGAAATCACTGGGCGCCCTGAAAAAAATCCACACAAAAGCCTTCAAGTTATACATTGTAAAGTGCGTTAACAAGCATATAGGGAGAGATGGGCCCGAGCGTGGGCGGTTTGACAACCCAACCAAATTCAACATGTCCTTTTTTCAGCTGTTAATTTTTAAACTGTATTGTGACAATTATGTAACCCTAGTTTTTTTCACGGGCTCATTTCTAATCCATATCTTGTTCACACGTAAACATTTCTATCAGTTACATCATTGATGGTTCTCTCTAAAGAAACAGCGGAAAATTTAAAAAAAAAAAAGATATTAAAAATGTGCTAAAATATCTGATGGACTAGTATTGAAAGTTTGTTCCTTGTTCGCTTAAGTGTGATAACACAAACTTCTCTAGTACTTTTACTGGCTCATACATGATCCACATCTTGTGCACCCGTAAACATTCTAGAAATTACGTCATCGATGGTTGTAAAGTAACAACGGACCCACTAAAACGGTTAAATTTTTTGTTTTAGAAATATGACTGGACTAATAGCATGGACGCTTTTCCTCGTTCGCTTAACTAGACTTACTTCGAAGCCATACTACAATATCGTTTCTGTTGATGTTCTCCAACGCGCGACACAACACGTCCATCTGACCCTGAGTGCTGGGTTGTCTTTGTCTCCAATCGGTGAGCATCTGGAATCTTTGATGACGGACGTTTCCCGGGTTGTTCACCTCGAAGTCCCTGATGTTTGCCTCATTAAATCCAAGGTGGATAGCCAGCTCCTTCCAATGATCACCCAACATCCCGGAGATATCCAAAAGAATCGGGTCCTCAATACCCACTGGAATATGAACCCAACGAAATCACCGTTGAGTTATATAATAAGAGCCAAGAAGGACAGAGCTTCTTCGCAATATTTTTCACGGTTTGGAAAGAAAAGTCTATTCCGACCCATCAACTTAGATGACTATCGTTGCGTGCAATCATGGACGACATGCCGTACGTCTTTAAATATAAGACGGTTGAAGGATTCATGCTTTTGTATCGACCAATATTTGCAATGGATTACCAGAATCAAAGCTAACCAAACTCCAACGCATACAGAACTATGCAGCTAGACTCATAACCAGGACCCCAAAGTAGGAACATATTGCCCCCGTCTTTAAAACATCAATTACATTGGTTGCCGGTGAAATCCAGAATCGTTTTTAATCTTTAAGTTCTCACCTATAAACGCATCCATGGATTGGCCCCGGATTATCTTTAGGAATCAATAATGGACTTTCTGCTACATCGAACGAATGCAGTGAGTTACCTCATCGTATAAAAATCAGCCCATCCTTCGAACATGTCAAATCACAGCTCAAGAAACAGTTTAAGACAGCTTAACACTTGTAAAAACTTTGTTACCTGAAGCGCATGGAGATATTTTGGTATAAAGCGCTATATAAGGGCAGGTAAATTAATTCTACATCGGTCTATGGACACGACTGCCATTTATCGATAAGAATTCAATGTACTTAGCGATCATGTATCTGTTTGTCATCGACATTATGACAAGACACTTTTATTACTTACCACGATTCATCTTCCGACAGCCTACTTCCACAACCTGACTTGAAGACGTAAAGGTACAAGAAGCACCTGCTTGCTGAGTGCCAGTATACGGACCCCCTTCCCTCACCGATTGAGGAGCTACTGTCCTTTACGCCATGTCACTATCCTGTGGATGCTCGTTTCATAGTGAGAGGTTGTCTGGCCTTCCGTCTTAGTACAATGTGACATCAATTAAGAGACATCAACTAAAGGGAACAAAACGATATGAGATGGTTTTCACTGTCTGTGTATTTTGTAACACATTTACATTGATATTTTTGTCTTTATGTTTTTGCCCTCAATATTTTGCTTTATTTCTCTTTTTTTCAGCAGTAACTGACCACAGAAAAGTAATTCACCCCTCAAACACCATCCGCATGACATCGACGCTCTTGACGTTTGGTTGTTTGGTGGTAAGTATAAATCATTGGAAAGAGTTGAGTATTTTTATATATTTTCATATTTTTGTTCTATGTGTGATTGAGAAGTTTACCCTGATCCTCCGTTGGGTAAAGAGTCAATACTCCTGCTCGCGAGTTGTTATTGCACCGATCTGCATGCAACCAGCAGTTAACAACTCATTTAGTGAAATTCCATCTCAGAGTCAGACCTAGCTAGTTTGGACCTTACTATCCTACAACTTTGAAAGCCAAAAACCTTGCACCCATAAACCAAATCAAACGTCAAATATGAGACCAGTCTTACCTGACTTCCTATGGCGACGGAGCTTTTTCGACGTACTGGCATTTGTGTGTTGGCGATGCCGTAATATAAGCCACTATTTACGTCACGTGATGGTGACGTCCAATATCGGATGATTTGGGCGTCACGTGAGAATGCCAAATAAGGAGATTATTTTTTGATGTGATGTTAATCTATAACTTTGTTTAAGAGATCAGTATGTCATTATAATTATGAATTGCGGGGGCATTTTTTTTTCTCAATAATATGTTGTGAAAAGAACTGCATTCAAAATTCGCAGAAATCCATTAGATCAGATTTTTACTTTTTCTCCTATTTTTTTGTTGACTTTATTTTGATTCTTCAGATATTAAGAAAAATGCAAAAAGATGGCTTGGTATATGTTGCCATTTCGAGCTTGAAAATTTATTATCGGTAATATTGAAGCATCTTAGTACTTGTCTTGTTCTCCCTGTAGTCGTATATGCTTACCGTTCAGTTGATTTCTGAACACAACTAAAAGCCTTTGACCAAACAGGTCTAATCCAGTGGTTGCGTCACATAATACATGTACAGCATCATTGTACAGAGATCCGTCAACGTACTTCGTAATTAAAGTATTGCGTGCAGCAGCTCCTGGAAAAAAAAGTTTCTTTTTAGACGCTAAGTTGTAAATTATTAATCCTATAGCAATTATGATAAAATAAAATAAAATGGATTTTGTAACCAGTTTTATTTACATGCACAGGCCCTTGACAAAGCTGAGTTTACTTTCAAAGTGTTGTTGACGCTATGCCAAATTTTACCTCATGTGTTCATCATCACAGTAATGGCATACGCAATTCTAAATTATTGCAATCAATGTGCAGAAACTGTGGGTGATAATTAACATGTTATACCAGCAGGATCCAGATCCAGCCTTAAAAGTGTGGTTGGAAACAATAATATGTATACGGCCAAGAAACAGGTGTAGGGATGCTTTCAAAGTGGTGTTTATAGTGTTTAACAACCACTTGTAAGAATGAAGTACCCTTGCAGTAAGTTTATATATGAGATAATTGGTACATTTTTTTCACTATCTAACGTACCCAGTGATATTAAATATTTCATAAATACGACGCATAGCATACAATATAGAGGCTAGCGTTGATCGTTCTTTTTTAATATGAATTCTAAAACATAAGCCGAATGACTTGATTTTCCTTTAGGTGATCTCATAACTTCAAAATAGTTCAGCTTAATCTTCAGCATCTTGAGTGTTTTGTTTACGGTACAGTTTAACTGCTAGTACCAAAGTGGTTTGTCACTTTTGGACTGTAATTTATCAGATAAGTGCATCACGAGGAGGATCGAAGGCTGATTTTGCACTCACTAATTAGTCTTAATTATTTGAAAGACCTGGTTTTGGCTCCCCACACACGGTGCTTATCGAAAACATTGATAACATTTTGTGACACAGATGATAAGGATGTCATGATTTTACCAAAAGTTGAAGGGGTAGTATGTCACGTAAACCCTTACAAAACCTTACTTTTTTATGAAGTCACTAAAAAAACAAAAACCATTTGGGCTTCCTTCCTTTTTTGGCGGGGGAGACATGCCCCCGTTGCTCCCCTGGATCCGCCCTGGGACCTTCGGCACAACGCACATGCACAACCTAGCACCCCGGCAGTAACCTCTCTGGGTCCGCCCATGAATAGTTATGTAGAGAGACCATTTTTTTTTTTTGCGAGAGGGGCACTGATGCTTTTAATGGCCAGCTCAGTGACCATTTCATTCGCGTGTTATATGGAGCACTATTAGTTTTAATGGCCAGTTTTCTATGAGAGGGGCAGTTTTACATCTCGAGAAAGTGCGCAATCTTGTGAATGCAAGAGGGGCACTTGTGTTTTTGAGGGGCAGTTTTCACTACAAGAGAGGAGATAATTGCGCGATCACAACGCTTACACATGTGCGTTTGAGGGGCAGTTTTGTTTTCATCTTGAGGGGGCACATTTATATTAAACCGCGAGAGGAACGTTGTTGGCCTGGAAAAGTACCAAGTGCCCCTTCCCCCAACCCCCGTTCCGCCGCCCCTGGCTTGTGGGCTAGCGAGGGCAGGGCAAGGGCGGATCCAGGGGGGGGCCAAAGGGGGCCATGGCCCCCCCCAAAACGAAACCAATTTTTTTTTTTTTAATGTGACATCGCAATAAAGGCAGGCAATGAGTACACCACCATCTTTTCCTCAAAAAAAATTGGTTAAAGTGGTCAAAAATTGCCTCAGATCGCACCACAGAGCATCTAGAATCCAAAAAATTTTCGGGGCCCTCACGGGCCCCGAACCCCACGCCGTAATTTTTTAGACCCACTTTTTTGGGGGGGACCAAATTTTTTTTGGCCCCCCCCCAAAATTGTGTTCTGGATCCGCCCTTGGGGCAGGGGTAGCTTCAATGGCAGCTTTTACAGCAGGAACTGCGCGCAATATTAGTCAGGGTGGTTGAGGGTGCCAGTTGGGGTTCACTGGGCGGCTGACAACAGAGACATCCATGGGATGGGCTGTGGGCAGTGTGAGGTTAGGTTGGGGCTGGTTCAGCTGTTTCACTATGATCGTCTCACAGATTGGCTTCAAGGGCCTTGATTTCAGTTTTGAGTTGACGTACTTGGAGGGCCAACTCCAACTGCTCCTTTTTGTTCTGCAGTTTTTGTAACTGCTCCGTCAATTGTTAGTTTCACTGAGGAGCAGTGTATCTGGGCAATTTGGTGGATCTGTTTGTGGTAGGCTTCTCTGTGTTGTGGAGTTTGGGCCCTCGCAGTGTGGTGAACGTGAGTCTCATAGGTGCTGGTTGGTTTTGATGCCGCAACCCGGGTAGTTCATATTCCTGTAGCTGGCATTCTTGAGTGGGTAGGAAAATTGTTGAAGTCAGTGCTGCTAAGTCTTCATGCAGAATGAAGCTGGGCCAATATCGTGGCTCTGCTTACCGTTAACACAAAAAACCTGCTTACTGTTTCATAAAATGTTGTGCTTAAGGGTTAGCGAGAAATGATGGCTTCTGCGCATGCGTATTTTACATCCCGTAACTAGGATCCTGTGCTTACAGGGTTAGCACAGAATATTTCTGCTAGCGCGGTTAGAACAAAACGGTGATCGTAAGCGCGGAAATGGCCCAAATGAATTGCCAACTGTTTTCATTACTCACGAGGAAGAGTACTTGGCAATCGAATGTAGGGGACCCCGTGTAGGGGCTTTTGACCAACCCTGACCATGAGCCGTGGTCAGTGTTTTGTACTGACATGTATACTGTATCATGTTGTTCAGTACAACAAAAAGCATATAGGTTGATAAATGTAAATATTACGAATTTCAAAACTATAAGTGTCCTTGAACCTTCTGTGGTGGTCTAAATTAGCTTTCTATTGTCACCTATCTTGCACCCTATGACTGAGGATACACCAGTGATTTCTATACCAAACGTTAGATCAAATTGGTCTGATTCAGCGGTTGCTTCATGTGTACATAATCACACACTTCATAATTGTTGCACTCAATGGTGGGAAACTGTCGGCGAAGGTTCAATTCAATTCAATTCAGTTCAATCAACAGTTTCCATAATGCCACAACATTTATAAAACAATATAACAAAGTAATTTAATAAATAATTTTATTAAGATTATACATGTAGATGGGTGAGAAAGAAAGAACAATTGTAAATCAATAAGCAATTATGGAGGCATAGTTTATTTACAATGTTAAAGCCCTAAAAGTGTAGTTGAAAACAATATCAGATATAAAGAAGAAGAAGGTTTGGGGCTGTTTTCAAAGCTTAATTTGGTGAATCTATCACTACCCCAACGCACTCAGTGATATTAAATATTCTTTAATACGAAGTACGCCGCAAAGCATAGAGGTTTTGAAACCTACAAAAATAAGCCGAATAAAATGACTTGATTTTTCCTTTGGGTAATCTCATTACTTAAAAATAATTCAGTTTTATCTACAGCATCTCGAGAGTTTTGTTTACGGTTGTATAATTGCTAGTACCAGAATGGTCTGCCACTTTTGGACTGTAATTTATGAGATAAGTGGCAGTACGAGGAGGATCGAAGGCTGATTTTGCACTCACTAATTAGTCTGAATTATTTGAAGGCCCTGGTTTTAGTTGCCCACACACGGCGGTTATTGATAACACTTTTAACATTTTGTGATACAGGTTTTGTACCAAATAAAGTTGAAGGGGTAGTAAGTCACGTAAACCATTTAAAAAAAAGGTTGTAAAACTATGAACCGCGCCACCCCGCTTAGACTTTCTGATAAGATATGCAAGATAATAAGGAGTGTGTTTTCGTCCTACTAATTTCAAGGGGGAGAACCTAGCGGGGTACTACACGTTGTAAGGTGGCAATCACTTTCATTTAAGATTGAAGTCAAACCAGTTCAAACTCAAGTGAAAAGTCAATCTACTCGATTGAATACATTTCACACTAAAGCGCCACGGTCCCTATATAATTTCAGTTGATGGATCAAACAGAGTGGAATTTTCACCCTGGCTCTAAAAAAAACCCAAAGAAGCATATACGCTCCCCCACACACACCCCTAATAAATAAGCTTTCATGCTCCGTATCGATTTATTTCTGTGCTACTAGAACAATACAATTTCAAGTTATATTGTTTTTGTAAGAGAAGGGGGACGGGGTGTTAAGAAGCACAAGACAAACTTATAGGCTCTATGATAGCAAGCCATTGTATACCCGCAC